TGAATGCTTTAAGATTGAGCACTTTTCATATAGCTGGGTGACTAGGGCCTCGAGATACAGACCAAAACGTGGACCCGGGTAAACTTAGGCTGTATTTGTTTAATATGGGCATAAAATGAAAGCTGTTATGTCAAAAAGATGCGGAAGCTAATAAAAAAAAATTGAAAAATTCATCAATACCGTTTTTGTGAAAAATAAAATTGTGTAATGCGGACAGTTCTTTAATCTTCTTTAATATAAAAATTAATATAAAAATAAGTAGGGTTTTCCTTCCTGACGCTATAACTCCAGAACGCACGAACCGATTTCCACGGTTTTGCATTCGTTGGAGGTTTATAGCTAAGAAAATTCAGGAAAAATTTCAATAGAAAAGTATATGGTGTGTGAGTATCCCTCACGAAAATAAGTATGTTTCATTTAAAGTAGATGGTGCCGGTGCGTGAAACATTGTTTAACAGCTATTCATTGTACTTTGCTCAGTTAATTTCATGTGACACTAGCGAATACCCGGCGTGCTTCGCTGCGCCTTAAAAGTAATTTTGTTTTGTTACTCCCTCTCACAACATTTGAAAATATTAGTTAATATTGCTGTACATATTTGTATAGTAGGGAGATTTTTTCAAATTATATAAATATATGTTATTTGAATATTGAATCAATACACGTTTGAGGAAAGGGTGCGATAGTAGACTCCAGTTATAAGATTATAAATTAAATTTCCAAGAGAAAGTCGGTTCTTTACATATTTTCTAATTACCTTCGAAAATATATTAACTCAAAAAAATAATAAACAATGCTTCATAGATCGATTTTTTTTAAATCTAACTTCATAAAGTTCTTTAAAAATATTTTGTAAATGAGGCCATAAGAGCTTAGGGAGAGTTACAACACAAAAATACATTTAAGGCGCAGCGAAGCACGCCGGGTAATTGCTAGTAAATAATAAAATTACAAATGCAAAAGTTTTCAAATTATAGCTTTCTGTGCTTGAAATATGTTTGAGGTTATGGCGGAAATGATGTTTTATGAGGAGATTGCTAAACAAATTATGTGTTGTAACAGCACACATTTGTAGAAGGTAAATATCTGTACCACAAAAAAGATAACACAATTTTTGGTCCTATTGAGAAAAATCTTTCAAATTTTACGTTTTATTTGATATGAAAATTTAGGAATTATGAAAAAGAAAATATATTTCAAATACATACTAAAAGCGCATAGAAAAATTTTATAATTTTTTAAAGTGAATACCTATATATTGGAAAAAACTGTTAGAGGGTTACTGCGCAAGATTTTAGTTTTTGAAATTATGAAAAATTTGGAATTTTTATGAAAAGTTTAACTCCTAGAGCTTAGCGTATATGGAGTAAAAGGTTCTACAGGTTCTACACTTTTTAAAATAAAATAAAATGTTTAAAATTTCGAAGATTTTTATTTTTCAATTATAAATGTGTCTTGTGTGCGGTCAAAAAAAACATTTAAAATTCTGCAATTTTTTACATTTTATGAATTTTTTAGGCTCTTTCGAAAATTATTCGATAATTAACAACTAAAAAAAATTTTGTATATTTTTTGACATTTTTAAATTAGCTCCAACTAATTAATTGTACGATTTAAAGGGACTGCAAAGAAAATATAATGAAAAAAATTATAAAAATTATAAAGTTTAAAAAGTGTGTTTTTACTTCCGCCCATTTATTTTTAATATTTTAAACCTTTCAAACATTTGTTACGTTCAGTTTTATTGTGTATTTTGACTTTACTATTTGTTTTTGTTTAGCATGCATTTTTTATCAAATTTCGATTGACTCCAATACGATGTTGCCACATTTACCTAAGTATGCATTACTTTCTTATTCAATTTACTGCTGTTTTCTTCCCAGACTTTTTCAATTAAACGCATAGCATATACTAAATGCCTTCTTAGTTGCTCTTGAGTGTGTATGTATGCATGTATGTATTGTATTATTATAATTTTTTTCATTATGCTCCTACGTTCCTAAAACTATGTAGATTATGGTAAATTGCAAATTTTACTTTTTACATGTGCTGCTTTTCGTTTCATGCGTATTACTCTTTAGTTACTATGTATGTATGTCGTATGTATGTATGTATGCATGTAAGTATGTAGAGCTATTTTATTTTTATATATATATATTTTTTTTAATTTTTTATATACTTTTTTCACGCAATTTACTGACACGCTACTTTGCTTACTAAAATTACATGCTATGATTTGTAGTGTGTTTTTCGTTTTAATATTTATAAATAAATTTTTAATACTATTTTTAATAATAATATTTACTCTATTAATAGTTAAGTATAGTATTTTTTTATCTTAAATATTTTTTATTTCTAAATTTTTTGTTTTGTGGTCTCTGCAACGCATGCCATTTATTTACCGCTGTTTACTTTCTTTACAGTGTAGCGCTGAGATAACAACTCATTTTGCATTGAACTTTTAATGCATTTTTGAATTTTTATTACTCCATATTTTACAATTTTTTTTGTTAATTTTAATTTTTATTATATTTTTATAATAGGT